TGTGTGTTTAAAAGCATTGCTTGGCTGGCAGATGTGTGACATGTTTAGCACCTACCTCAGATGGATGGGTTTCAAAAGCTTTGCTGCTGAGCAACCTGATCTGGTTGAAGATATCCCTGCTCACTGTAGGGGGGGTTGTACTAGATGAGCTTTGAAGATCCCTTCCAACCCAAACCATTCTATGATTCTATGATGACTTCTCCTTGCCCATACCTGGGACAGGCTTTGCCTCTGATGGAGAAGACTGTCCACAGCAATTCAGACACCTCTGTGCCCTGCACAGGCAAAGCAGGCAGCTCTGCCTGTGGCTGCCCACCTCCTAGCTCCAAGGAGGTCCACTGAAGTGGGAAACAGGAGGAAAGAAACAGCTGGGCTTTGTGCAGCAGAGCATAGAGATCCCACTGAGGCAGGTTCCCCACCTCTGGAGCCACAGCTGGATCCTTGGAGGAGCTGCATCAGGCAGATCACATGTGCTCTTGTGCTTCCTTAAGCACCCTAGCAGAGGGAATGAGCTCTGATGATGATGTAAGGGACCATCTTCATTCAGTGCAACCAGATCTACCAGAGGGGATCTGCACTACAACAAGAAACCCCTGCTGCTTCTCCATCTCATTCCATATTTCATTTGCTGCAAGGACCTAAGTAATACAACCACCATCAGGTAACAGCAGGGAATACTCTGAAACCGCGCTGCCTCACAGGCTGTGCATGTGCATAAGTGAATGCACACAGTTTTTGGTAACTGAATAGCTGTTAAGCAAATATCAATGCCCTTTTCGTCGCCTTCGACAAGTACTCAAACATTCAAAATACGTTTCTTAAGGTCAGGTTTACCTTACCAATTTCCTCATAGGCAAAGCTGACAGCTTGGAAGTCTCCAGCAGGATAAAAGTTGCATGGTGCAGCTCTTCCAGGCATGGTCTGTCCTGCCACACAGCTGCTCTGCTCTCCCATCCCTGGGGCTTCACTGCAGGACAAGAGCAGAAAATGCTCTCAGTGATGTTAAGGTCTCAGCAAGCACATACATGTGAGTTAAGTTGTGCTCCCACCCTCGAACAGCTCCTGCCACCCATATTTTACCTCTGAGTGTGAATGGGGGTTTCAATCCACTTTGCTTAAATTAATCTATTTTCTTTATGTCTTTAAGTGTGAGGGAAGCAAGACAAAAGAAACTTACCAATTGTGGTCCAGTGTTGAATCCAAGCCAACGCAACTGCAACTTTACATGACTTCCTGCAGATAATGAAGAAGTATGCAAGCTTTACTTGAAGAGCTTGGAAACAAAACCCAAACAAAGCAGGAATAAAGATTTACATTGCAGAGGGTTTGATAAAAATATTCCAGGATATAAGTATCTGACCCTGGTAGTTGTATTCACCAAATTGTTAACACTGGAGAGTTAATAAGTTACCCTTGACTTCTCCATGCCAATAACTTACTAAGCATGCAATGAACACCTAGACTAGAACAAGCCTCCCAGGTAGATGCTGGAGAATCTCCTCTGGAAAGCCATCAGGAATTAGTGTGAGCCTCCTGAAATGCAGGAGGCACATACCCAGCAGTCAACTGCGATAGAAATTTGGGGGGAAAAGAAACCCCAAACCCGAGTCTGGGACTAAACATGTAGGTTAGAAAGGTACAAGGAGCAGGAAACTCTTTGCTGCACTCATACCAAAATGTCTTCTTTTAATTCTGTGGATACAGGGGTCAATGGTGCTGAACTGAAGCTATGATCATAGCTCAGTATGTTGTCCACCTCCATCCACCCCTAGCCTTAGATTGGTAAGGAAAAAGGGAGAGTTTCCACTCCCTGAGCAAGCCAAAATAAGTTTCTGATTTCTTCACCAGAAGAAATAGACCAGTTTGAGTCCGGTCTCCACGTACACGCACAGATAAGCTTCACTGCAATCACTGACTTGCTCTGTGTGCAGATGGATGCAGTATTACCAAGCACCCTGCAAAATAAGAGCTACGAAACCTTTTTCTTTTCCTAAAGAAGCACTCTTTAAGCACTGCCAAGAGTTATGTTGCTCCTGCAATAACAAATCGCTCTATTATCACCCGCAGGTACAACGGCTTGGGGATAGATGGCGCTGCCTGAACATAGAATCACAGAATGCGTTAGGTTGGGAAGGACCTCAAGATCATCCAGTTCCAACCCCCTTGCAATTTGGTTTGCAAATAACGGAATAAAGTATTTATTATTACACTTGTTCACACACGATGTGCACCTGAGCAGTGCCGGTGCTGTAATTATTTCTTACACTTGCATAAATAAGACACTGGAAATAAAAATCAGGAAGAAAATGCACTGAGCTGTCACAAGATATGCGATTCAGCTCCCAGCAAAACACTTGGGTGCAGTTACAAGTGTCGTCTCTTAGCCAAGAGCTGAAGGGTGGGAGGAAAAGGAGGTGGCTGCAGGTAACACACTGAAGTCAGTTAATTCCTCACTTTCTGCATCCCAAAACACCACCGGCAGGGAATGCTGTTCCTAATGGTAAAGCTGCTAGAATGAAGTATTTAGACAGCACTGGCAAGTACAGTAACAGCAGAGGTGAATTCCCATTTGCCCTACACTGCTCTCATGAGACCTCACTTGGAGTATTGTGCACAGCTCTGGTGTCCTCAACAAAAAAAGGACATGGAACTGTTGGAACAAGTCCAGAGGAGGCCACGAGGATGATCAGGGGACTGGAGCACCTCCTGTGTGAAGACAGGCTCAGAAAGTTGGGGCTGTTCAGCCTGGAGAAGAGAAGGCTGCGTGGAGACCTCAGAGCAGCCTTCCAGTATCTGAAGGGGGCCTCTTAGGGAGAGGGACTCTTCATTAAGGACTGTAGTGATATGACAAGGGGTGATGGGTTCAAACTTAAACAGGGGAAGTTCAGGTTGGAGATAAGGAGGAAGTTTTTTACTGTGAGGGCGGTGAGGTGCTGGAATGGGTTGCCCAAGGAAGTTGTGAATGCTCCATCCCTGGTGGTGCCCAAAGCTAGGTTGGACAGAGCCTTGGTTGACATGGCTCAGTGTGAGGTGTCCCTGCCCACGGCAGGGGGGTGGAACTAGATGATCTTAAGGTCCTTTCCAACCCTAACGATTCTATGATTCTACATGATGCTCTGGTGCTCAGCTGGCAAGGCAGCCTGCTGCAGGAAGAGATGTTCTCAAACAGCAGGGAGAAGGGGGAGAGCCACATAAAGAGAGCATAGACTGAAAAAGGCATCCGAAGCACACAAGCTGGAGCCACGATGACCAGGAGCTGAAGCTATCTATAAGCTGGACCTGAACGCAGAGCAGAAATCAACAGGAGCTGTAAATGAGCTGGAGCCAAAACTGAACTGGAGATGTCCAGGAGCTGTGGCTGAAAGAAACAGGAACCTGAACCAATGCACAAAAACCAAATCAAACCCAAAATCCAAACCCAAAATCAAACAAGCAAACCCAAACGAAATCCAAACCCAAACCCAAACCAACCTAAACACAACCTCAAAACAACCCCTTCAAGAAAGAGGGGCCCAAACCCCCAACCTGGAGCTGCATCCAAGCTGATGCTGCACCTGCCCGCAGTGCTGTGAGGAGTGAGTCTTGGGGCTTCACGCCCCACATGCTGTGGCTGGGACTCCTCTGTCCATCCCTGCGCAGGGTCAGACATGGCACAGTCAGCTCCTGGCCGTGACTGGGAGCTCAAACTGGTCAGAGCTGTCTGTGAGCTGGAGCTGAACCCAGAGGAGAAACCAGCAGGAGCTGCAAACGAACAGGAGCTGGGCCTGAAAGATATGGGGACGTGAACCAAGACACAAACCAACCCAAACCCAAATCAAAACCCAAACCAAGAAGAACAAGCAACATCAAAACAAACAAACAAAACAAGAACCAAACCATCCAAACCCAACCCAAAAACAAATCCAAAAGCAAAACGGGACCCTAACCTGCAGCCTGTGAGATTGATGCACAAAGCCCTGCAGCACAGGGGTCATGGGGCATGTCTGAGAACCTGAAGGACCACAGGAGGCTGATGGGTCCCGTCCATCCCCCCACACTATCTCCATCAGTCCCCCTGCAAACCTGTTCCTCTGCCTCCTGATCCCTCACCCCTGCAGTGCCCATCCAGCCTGTGATCTCTCAGCGTGACAAGGACCATGTCTTCATTCCTCACTTGCTTCATGTTCCTCATTTGCTTCATGTTCCTCACCTGTTCATGAGTGAAGAGACCTCAGGTACCACCTTTTGGCCAGGCTGTACAGAGCCTTGGGTGATGTGGTCTAGGGGATGGCATCCATACCCATGGTAGGGGGTTGGATCTGGATGAGCTTTAAGGTACTTTCCAATCCAAGCCATTCTGTGACTCTTTGGGGGGGCTGTGGCTTTCCCCATCCCACCAGGCATTACACCTGAGCCCACACTTTCTTCATCCCCTCTTGCATCCAGCACTCGAGTATCTCAAGCTGGAACAGCAGAGCAGGGGAACCCTCTGAGGATGGGGGCATTTGTGTAAGGTGGTGGAGGTGGGATGGGGAGGAGACGCTGGGCAGTGTACGGGTTGTGTGTAGGGGACCCCAGGGTCAGGGTGCAGAAGAGCTGGAAGTGTGGGTGCAGGGTGCAGGTTGCTCCTGCTTGTGCCACTGGCTCCAGCAGCCATCACACTGGCTTGCAGCAATGGGGCTAGGAAGGGTCCTCTTGAGCCATGGCAATGAACAAAACTAAACAAAAACAGCAGCAAGAGCAGTCCCGGGTTGAAATGGTTGAGGTGGTGAAAGCACTGCCAGGCTTTTCACCTTTCCTGGTGAGCATGCCACAGTCCTATGGCTCAGAGGATTCAGAAAGGCAGTTCACTACTATCAGTGATTACCCTGGAGTGGAGGATGGCAAACCATACAGCCCAGCTGGGGAAAGCTATGGCATTCCCCACCCAGGCCCTCTGCTACAGCTGGGAAAACCTAAGGAGCTAAATTGGCAGCAAGCATCATTGCACTGGAAAAAACACATGGACACCAGCAGACTGCAAACAAGCATCATGATACTGCCCTTATTTTAGTGGGCTCTCCCAAAAGACAGCAGACAGAGCCCATTGTCTCACAGTGAATCCAGGTAAAAGAGTTTACAAGGTAAAAATAGGGAAATCACTCAATGGGTGAAATGCAGCTCTAAGAGAAAGGGGGAAAGAGTGGAGCAACGTGCAGGTGGTTCCCATGGGGCATTTGTCTTTGTGTATCATTGCTTCAGTATGAGTAGGAGATGTCCTCTTCTGTCAGAGTCAGGACTGCTGCTTGAGCTGCTGGAGTGCTGGAGGAGATAAAGCACAGAAACAATCCCCTTTTCACACCATTTCTGATGGGTGTTGGTGATCCTACAGGGAAACTGGAGAGGGGCTTTGGACAAGGGCCTGTAGGGACAGGACAAGGGGAATGGCTTTAACCTGCCAGAACAGGGGAGACTGAGATGAGCTCTTAGGCAGAAGCTCTTCCCTGTGAGGGTGCTGAGGCACTGGCACAGGGTGCCCAGAGAAGCTGTGGCTGCCCCATCCCTGGCAGTGTTCAAGGCCAGGTTGGACACGGGGGCTTGGAGCACCCTGCTCTAGTGGAAGGTGTCCCTGCCTGTGGCAGGGGATTGGAACTGGATGAGCTTTAAGGTCCCTTCCAACACAAACCATTCTATGATATGATTCTATGACTGTGATGCTGTGAACTTACATGAGAGTCATCACCACAGCCTCAGAACAGTAAACCACAGCTGGGATCCTTTGACTTGAAGATGAAACTGCTACTAATTGTCACCACAATCTTTATTGCAATGCTGTTATAAACTATGTTTTAGAGATTGGAGTCACTCTTTTTGTGCTTGGAGAATATAATTATGGGCATATCATGGGAGGGACGGGGTTTTATTGTTATTTTCAAGGCTGTTGAAGCAATTAAGCAAAGTCCAGAAGGGTCCTGCTCTCTGTCAGCAAGGGTGAACATCAAGGTGAATCACTTCCAGAGCTATTACACCCAGACAGAAGCTAATGGTTTGCTTCATATAGGAAATGCTTCTACCTTGAATGGTGGAACTGGGGTTTTGTTCACAGTCTCTCACTCAGACCTGCTCTGGATGGTGCCTATCACTGGCATGGCATTTTCTGCAGCATCTATTCCTGGCATAGAGAATTGATTTTCCTTTATCTGGTGATTGGGATTTGGTTTGTTGGTTTGGTTTGATTTAAGAAGGAACTTAAGTGGGATTTAATACACCCTGAGCTGTGTCACTGTTTCAGATGGCTTCAGCAATTTCATGGATCACCTGAAATGACTCAGGCTTGCCTGTTTATTAACCAAGCAAGACTCTCTGTGTCTAAAAACAACCAACAAGGGTTCCAACACTCTGCTCCAAACAGTGCAAGAGGGGAGCCCCAGCTATCCAGGCTGTATTCTATGGCATAAGTAAGGGGGGTGAAGGACCACAGCAGAGATTCACTCTTACCTTGCCTCTGTAGTATTTGGAGAGCTTCTTCTCATCCTTCTTAATGGTGCTTCGGAGGGCTGTGAGGGGGTCCTGGAGGAGGGTGCCCATGGGGAGGATGCCCTGGTTGGTGGGGACCAGGCTTAGGGGGGCCATGGGGATGGCCACCAGGGTGGCCTGAAGGGTGGCCAGGGCAGGGACCAGCACCAGGGTTATGTGGTGGCACCCCTCCAGGTCCACCTAGGAAGAAGAGGGGTTTGTTAGCAAGCAGAGAGGGATTCTCCTTGGACAGATAACGCAGGGAGCTGGTGTACCCATGCACCCAAAGGACTCCTCCCCACACATGGTGCCCCACTCCCGTTTGGTACACAGCTAATCCCCCAGGTGCCCATGGTTATTGCACCGAGCTCTGCAATGGCTGTGTGATACCCACAGTCCTGCCTGACCCCACAACTCCTCACCTGGGTGTGGGTTTGGCATCCTCAGTGACCCCCAAGCTGCAAGGGAAGGACAGGCATCATCAGTGACACCTCCTGGTGTGGGGACACCATCGCCCTGCCAGCAGCCAGGACCCAGCTCCTCTATCACAGCCCCTGAGCCCCCACTCACTTCTGCAGGAGCGCATCCCCCCCCCAGACGCCCCGACAGCTGTCCTGTCCCTTTGGGTGACAGCGCCAGCCTTGAGAAGGGCTGTCCCAAGCTCTGCACACCCCAAATCCTGTGTGTGTGGTTTCCATCATCAATGGAAACATGAACCAAGCCTGGGTGCCAGCCCATATCCTCGTGGATGTCAAGGGGATGAGGACACTATGTCCTGGCGTGATGCCAGCCATGGGGACAGTGCACCCCGACCCACGAGTGCCTACGCTCCCACTGTCCCCTGCTCTCTGCCTGATGCGAATGCTTCCAGATGCTTCCACTCACCAAATACTCAGGGAAGCTCCTGGTAAAGGCAATGCTGCAGCACCCTCTGGAAGCACCACTGCCAGCAGAACCCCAATTGCTGTCCTTGGCATCCCTTATATAGAGGGGCCCTGCCCAGGGGAGAAGGGGTGCAGCAGGAAGGGGTGACACCAGATGGAACACTAGGTAGAACCGGCGGCACCGCTCCCATCGCATGTCACCATGGGCACGCCGGAAACATCAACACTCCACTCCCTGCTGCACAAAGGTCCCACAGGGCTGTTAAACACAGGGGATGGAGGGTGGTGGTTTCACCTCCTGGTCATGCTGAAGGCCACAACAGTGAGAAGGGCCTGGAGCACTTCCCATACTAAAACAGGCTGAGAACACTGGGGGTGTTCAGCCTGGAGAAGAGAAGCTGCGTGGAGACCTCAGAGCAGCTTCCAGTGCCTGAAGGGGGCTACAAGGATGCTGGGAAGGGACTCTACATCTGGGGCTGCAGCAATAGGACAAGAGGTGATGGGTTCAGATTGAAACAGGGGAAGTTCAGGTTGAAGATAAGGAAGAAGCTGTTTACTGTGAGGGTGCTGAGGTGCTGGGACAGGGTGCCCACAGAAGCTGTGGCTGCTCCATTCCTGGCAGTGTTCTAGGCCAGGTTGGACACAGGGGCTTGGAGCAACCTGCTCTAGTGGAAGGTGTCCCTGCCCGTGGCAGGGGTTGGAACTGGATGATCTTGAGGTCCTTTCCAACCCAAGCCATTCTGTGGTTCCATGATGGGGTCAGGCTCAGTGCTCCCAGCATGGACACTGGGGTTTGGGTCAGGGTCTGGCCCAGGAAGGGGGTCACCGTCCTGCAGGCAGTGCTGTGGGACAGTGAGGCTCAGGGTCCAGCTATCGACCCGCTGTGACACTGCTCGGGGTGCTGCCATGGTGTGCAAGTCAAGGAGCTGATACCTGCCATCAGACCCAGGTAACAGAGACAAGAGGCAGGGCTGGATGCTCCAGTGCTCAGGTCTTTCTCTTGGGTGTCTATGAGGAGGGGCCAGAGCTCTTTTCATCCCCTCCCCATCTCCCTGCTAACACCCCGATACTGCCCCACGTTTGACAATGCTCCCTTCCCAGAGCAGTGAACAATGCAATGGGCTGGGTTGGGCTGGGCATGCACCACCAGAGACTACGCCAGGTCCTGTCCCAGCCCTGTGGGCACAGAAGGACACTGGGGTGTGCGAGGTCAGGAGCTGGTCACACTTCAGGATCTCTTCGGGGGCAGCACCATGGGGTCCCTGCCACCCCGCTCCTTTGGGATCCCTGACCACAGGCCCTGCCAACCTAATCGGCTCCTTGTGGCCAGGCATAGGGGAATGGAGACTGGGATCTGAGCCCCAGGCAGCAAAAAGTCACCCTTGGCCAGGTCAAGGTGAGCAGGGGGCAGGACGTTGGGACGTGCCTGGGCAGAGTAGCTCTCCCAAAGTAGATACTGAAGGAGCCCAGGCAGAGATAATCATGTTTCCCAGCTGTATTTGCCACTGCAGAGCTCCTCTCAGGCCACCCGCTTCTCCAGCAGCACCAGCACGAGCGCCGAGCCTTGCTTTGCCTCCTCCAGGAGCCCAGAGACCTTCTGTGACATCTGCATGGTGAGGAAGAAGGCCCACCATTCACCACCGTGTCCCACAGGACAAAACAGCCAACCCCCATCCACCCCATGCATTCCGCTGGGGGCAAAGGGAGCGGGTACCCAGGCATGAGGACTCCCAGGGGCTTCCTCTCCACCTCTGCCCCACCTCATCCCCACCACCATGGCCCCGGCTCACTGCAAGCCTGAACTCCTCATCCGTTATGTCTTTGAGGTTGATCATGACATTGAAGTAAGCTCCGAACACAGCTGCTTCCAGCATTTTGGCTCCCACCTAGGAAAGAGGCTTGCGAGGAGCTCTCCCGCTGGATCAGAGTCCCACCACACGGTCCTGCAGCAGGGCAGATGTGTTTGCACAACCACCACCCGGTCCCTTCTCCAACAGGTTTTCATCCACCCTCTTGAAACCTGCTCCTGCTGCCTTGCCAGAGACACCTGGAGTCCCCCCCTTGGCATGTCCACAACCATCAGCGCTGGGGAGCAAGGACCACCCCACGCCTGCACAGCGCCCCTCAGAGATGCTCAGGGAAGCTGAGTGCAGGCGCCTCTCCCAAAGTAAGCTGAAGGGAAGACATAGGCAGCAGGATCCCCTCTATCCAGGTAGGGATGGGCACCGTGATGAGAAGCAGGATGGGGATCCCTACTCGATGATGCGCTCCCGGGGGTGAAACGGAGACAGGGAGTCAAGGCCCAGCCGGCTGACCACCTGCAAGGAACAGCACTGCCACGTCAGTCCCGTTGCATCCTCATTCCCTGTTCTTGATTAACCATGGGTGATCCCGCCCTAGACAGAGTTACTGGGGCCATCACCCCAGGCAGCACCAGCCCAGCCCAGCCCAGCCCAGCCCAGATGGCTGCAAACAACAGGGAGCAGCACCAGTAAATCATTAGCTTGCTCTTATCTAGCAACTTCCCCACAGGGTGGAAAAGTCCCTCCCTCCTGCAGCTGAAAAGCAGAGCCTGTCTGTTCATTCCCAGCTTATGCTGGTCCTGGGGCAGCTTCCTGTAATGCCACACACTGTCCCTGAGCTCTTTGGGGGGTCTTCTTCCCCTCCTGGCCTCCATGCAGGCAAGATGGGGAGCTGCTGCCCACACACTGTCCTCACAGGATAGGCTCTCTGCTCCCTAGAGCATCTCAGCATCCTCTTATCCCCCTCACTGTGCCCTTACAGCTTGCCAAGAACCATCCCTGTAGACAAGTGTCATGCCTGGAGGCTGCCGTGGTCGCAAATCTCTGCTCAGGGCCACTTTGGGAGGCTGGGCATGAGTTCCTGTCATGATCCCACCCTCGTCTGGGTACCAGGAAGAGCCACATTACCATCCTGATCTTCTGCTCCTCCTCTAGGATGAAGAGGTTTTCCTTCTTCATGTAAAACTCGGCTGCGTCCAGCAAGGCCTTCTTGGGGACAAGCCCCACCAGCTGGGACCCCACCACAGGGAGATTCAGTGCCTGTGGCAGACATCAGAAACGCGACTGTCCCGAGAGTTACCTGCTCTGTCACCACCATCACCCCAGCCTTCTGGTCCTCATCCCTTCCCGGGACCTGAAGAGCTCATGGAAAAGCCCTCCGTGGAGGAGCTGAGGCAAGGCACTGAGCTCGTGTGGGTTTCATGCCATTCAGTGCTCTGCCCAGCTTGGCTGAGCCAAGTGTGAGGTAAAGCAGAGCCTGACTTTGGCATGGGGAGAAAAGCCTGGAGGGAGACATCCTCTGCAAAGCCCCTTTTGAAACAATCACGGTGCGCTGACCCACCTTGGCATCTCGGCACACCTCCTCATAGATGGCATGGAGCGGTGTGGTCTCAAAGTCCAGCAGGTTCGTTGAAACCTGGGCTATATTCTCCTCCTCCAGATACCAGCCGATGCCCTGCACCTTCTTCAAGCGCCCAGGCTGCCAAGAACTTCCATGGTCAAGGCATGGCCCGAGAGGACCAGGGGCAAACTGCTCCCAGTGCGCTGATGGCACGGGGGTACCTGGTCAGTGCCACGCCCCTGCTCACGGATGTTGAGGGCAATGGTGGGCAGAGCTTTCCTGCTCTCCTCCTGTGCTGCCCCTCCATAGAGGTAAACTGCAAGAGAAAGCTGGGGGTGAGCACAGCCAGGTAAGGGTTGGTCATCATCTAGCAGGGTCCAGTTTGGACCATTTGGAAGCAAACCCCATTTGGTCAATCATGTGCAGTTTGTCCATAGCTGGAAGTGTGCAGTGGTGGGACCCCACTCACCGGGCACCCCCAGCTCCACTGCCAAGCGCTGCCTTAAGACATGGGCACAGGTAATGCGCCTTTGGACCTTCACAGATAAGCTTTGTAAGTCTGTCTTGTTCTTCATGCCAGCAAACACCTCCATGGCCCAACACAGAGGGAAATGCCTGCAGACCAAGAGGTGCATTTTTTTTCTCTATAAAATGCAAGCAGCTCACCCTGGTTCCCATGTGTGTGCTGGACACGGTTGATGTCTGAGACGATATCTGGCTTGTCAATGCATGTCATGCTTCCCAGGATCTCCAACAGGTGGTCTGCAGGGTAAAACATCTTCTGTATTGTTATCAAATCACTTGTATTTTGAGAGATGCTCCGTTTAATTTATTGCCCAGAAGAAAGGGAGACCTTAGAGCAGCTCCAGTGCCTAAAGGGCTACAGGAAACCTGGAGATGTTTCACCTCCTGGTCATCTTGGAGGCTGCAAGGGTGATAAGAGCCTGGAGCACTTCCCATACTAAGACAGGATGAGAACATTGGGGCTGTTCAGCCTGGAGAAGAGAAGCTGCGTGGAGACCTCAGTGCAACTTCCAGTGTCTGAAGGGGGCTACAGGGATGCTGGGGAGGGACTCTTCATCAGGGACTGTAGTGATAGCACAAGGGGTGATGGGTTCAAACTGAAACAGGGCAAGTTCAGGTTGGAGATAAGGAAGAAGCTCTTTACTGTGAGGGTGCTGAGGTGCTGGCACACGGTGCCCAGATAAGCTGTGGTTGCCCCATCTCTGGCAGTGTTCTAGGCCAGGTTGGACATAGGGGCTTGGAGCAACCTGCTCTAGTGGAAAGTGTCCCTGCCTGTGCCAGGGGCTGGAGCTGGATGATCTTAAGGTCCTTTCCAACCCAAAACATGCTACGGTTCTATGAACCACCTGCTCCTGGTCTAAATGCTCTTTGTCACTGCAGTTATCAGTGCCAGCATCCAGCTTCTGTTATGAAGAAGGAACAGCATCTTTGTCCCATGCATGTCCCTGTACTCCAAGAGCTGCTCCAAGTCCTACTGTAGCTAAACACCCCCTCTTTAACCCTTTTGTCATCCCAGACTCCAGCTTCCTGCCTGTTTCCTGGGGCTAACCACTGTCAGTGATTCAGGAAGCACCACAAGCAGGTCCTGGGCACCAGTGTGAGGCCGAGTAATCTATATATGCATATACATATATACATATATATACAGATATATATGTGTGGGGGTGAGCCTGACCTCCTGCCCAACCCTGGTGATGGGAAACCCATTTTCCCCCAGCACTTCAGAGCTGCCTTTGGCTCGTCTTCACTTGCTCAGCAAACGCCCCTGTAACAGGTCAACACTTTCTTCACAGCAAAGCTATGTGAGGAATGTCTCCTAAGGCAGCTGGAGCCTTTCCAAAGAGGGTGAGCTACCAAAGACACATTTCCCCCACTCAATCCCCCAGGCAGTGAAGGAAGGTGCAAACTTGGCCCTTGAAGGCTTGCTGTGCACTTCCACTTGGGCTCCTGTGCCCTCTTGAGCTGGGGAAGGAGAGGCTCTCTTCACTCCCCTCCCATGCCTGCCTTGAATGCCCTTAGGGAGAGGGCTGGTTCTGCCATATCTCTCCCAGGAAGAACTTGAGGTGCAGCAGGTAGAAGATACAGGCCAGGGTCTGCAGGTCTCCAGGCATCCCTCTCCTCTGGTACATGACGGCGGGCAAGAGGAAGATCCCTACGTGCAGGATGCGTGAGGCTCCTTGGGCACTTGCTGGTATCCTTGCCTGCTGTGATTTATTCCTGCCTTTAATCCCATATGCCAGCTGTTGTGTTCATGTGCTCAGCTTAGACACTAGGATTTCCCATTAAATCCCAGCCCTCCCGCCATGGAAAGACATTTGCAGATGTGCCCCCTTGGGCCTGCTTTCCACCTGCTCCAACCCAGCTCGCTGGGGTCCTGCAGAGCTGTTGCCAGCAAAGCCCACAGCCCATCTCCAGCCCTGCTGGCACTAGGAGCAATGCCCTCCAGCCACGAATACCAAACCACTCCCTGCATGTGCAAACCCAGCTGCAGCTGAAATTGCTTATCCAGGCATCAGGGACTTCCTGCTCTTCAGGAGCACAGAATCACAGACAGGGTTTGGAAGGGACTCTCTGGTCCATCACCATGACAGCGGGCTGGGGATGTCCTTGGACTTGTGGAACAGGCAGTTTCTCTGCCTCAGGTGTTGTGTGGACCTCACACGTGTGTGGTAGGGAGCTTGCCTTCCAAGGGCTAGAAGGCCCTTGAGCTGATGATGGAGGGCTTTGTGTCTGGTCCCATTGCCTGGACAGAGCACTCAGGTCCACACTGCAGCCTTGCTCCTGCTGCTCCTGCCTGGAGCTCAGCCCTGCTCCATCCTCCTGATGTGGCCACTTAAAGAGCCTGGTACTCACACGCAGCAGGGCAGGGAGTTCCCTAACATCTAATGTCAATCTACTCTGTATTCAGCTTGAAACCACGTTGCCCTCAAAGGAACTGAGGCAAGCTATCTAGGTGTCTAGGCTTTCCCTCACTCTGTTTCTCTTCTCCATTCTGTTGCTCTGGGAAGCATAGGAAGAGCCTTTGTCTTCTTCTTCTCCACTGGACCTGCCCCTATGCAGTGGAGTGGAGCCCTGTGGCACTGGATTGCACTGGAGCTCTTCCCAGTTGCTGTGTTTGACCTGCAATGCCACATACTGGCCAACACACATGGATCCATCTAGTTTGATTTCTCCCAAGTCCCACATCCAGTGTCCCCATCACCAGCCCCAGGCTATCAGTGCTCACAGTGCTTAGAGGTGCCCCTTCTGGCTGTGAGCTTAAAGCTCCAGCAAAGCCCAGATGCATTCGAATTCCCCATGCAAGGCCTCTGAAGAATAGCTCCTATGCTTCATGGAGCACCATGTTTTATGCGCCTACCCAAAGATTCAAGGCTCTTCCAGAGCAACATCAGGGAGAACGTGGCTATTAACCTCATGCACAAGGAGCACCCAGCCACTCTCAAACTGCCCACCTTCCACAGATTGTGAGAGATTTCATTAACCCGCATGCATGGGTACAGCATGGGCACACCGTGCCTTGCGTCTCCACTGGGAAATGGGAACAACTCAGCATGTACAGCCTTCCTGCAGTGACCAACCTCTCTGGCATCCCAGCTCCAGCAAGGCAGAGATGTCTGCCACTCCCTGCTTTAATTCACTTGGACTCAGTTCTAATTCCTCAGGTGTAAAGAGGAGTCACTTTGGATTTCAAACACATCTATTGCAAAAGGAGTCTAGGAAACAGGACAAGAAATACACAACAAAGAGCACTGGGACATTTCCTAGAGGTGGAAGAAACACTTGCGCAGAAACAAAGGATAAAACCCCATAAAAAGCAAAAATAGGACCCAGAAGACATCATAAATAAAGTTCAGATTCTTGATTGAAAGACAAACCAGCTTTCTTTGACAAGCAAAGCATGGTTTCAATGTTGGTTTTGACAGAAATGCCAGCATTTTCCCTGGAAACAAGAAACTCTTCGTTGAACATTCATGCACTGGACATCCAGTTTCCTTTCTGATGGGTTTTTAACAGTCCTGTGTATGAATCTCTTCCAAACACAGCAAGCAAAGTATTTGTTGCGAGTCAGAATCTTCCCTGCTCAACTGATAAGGCAAACAGACAGAGGGAATGAACCTGCCCCCAAATGCTTCATTCCCATCAAACCCAAGCAGATGTGAACGTACCACAGCCACACATTCACATCAGCATCGCGTGAAAGGGAAGCAAAAAGTTCTGAAAGTCCCAACAGAACACTTTTCCATCAGGTAAAGCCTGACTTTGGAGCAGATTTAAGGGAACAAATCAAATGTGAAGTGCTTGATTCGGTGCCTGCTTGTGAATACACAAACTGGCATCCCCATGTGCTGCAGGGAACACTGAACTAACATGTTGCCATGCTGCTCTCTTCATATTCCTGGACGATGTCACCTTTGGACCTTCACAGATAAGCTTTGTAAGTCTGTCTTGTTCTTCATGCCAGCAAACACCTCCATGGCCCAACACAGAGGGAAATGCCTGCAGACCAAGAGGTGCCTTTTTTTGCTCTATAAAATGCAAGCAGCTCGCCCTGGTTCCCATGTGTGCGCTGGACACGGTTGATATCTGGCTTGTCAATGCATGTCATGCTTCCCAGGATCTCCAATGGGTGGTCTGCAGGGTAAAACATCTTCTGTATTGTCATCAAATCACTTGTATTTTGAGAGATGCTCCGTTTAACTTAGCTCATGTTCCAGATGTTCTGCAGCTCCTTGTTGTGGTTTAAACCCAGTCAAGTAACTCGTTCACTCACCCCCCCCTTCTTTCCCTCCCCCTACTCCCAGAGGAATGGAGAGGAGAATCAAAAAGAATGCAACTCCCACGGGTTGAGATAAGAACAGTTTAGTAACTAAGGTATAACACAGATCACTACTGCTACCACCAATAACAATAATGATAAAGGAAATAACAAGGGAAGAGAATACATCACCTCAGCACCAGCCGACCGATAACTCGCCCCCCCCAGCCTGACCAAGCTCTGACCGATACCTCCTCCAACCCTGCAGTCACCCTGGGCACGACATGCTGTGGTATGGAATACCTCTTTGGTCAGTTTGGGTCAGGTGTCCTGTCTCTGCCTCCTCCCAGCTTCCCCTCCTCCCTGGCAGAGCATGAGGCTCACAAAGTCCTTGGCCAAACCAAAACATTCTTGTTATCAGCTCTGTTCCCGAGCCGAAAGTCAAAACACTGCACTGCACCAGCTACCAAGAAGGAGAAACATGACTGCTACTCCTGAACCCAGGACATTATCCACCCCTTATTCCATACCTTCACGTCATGCTCAGATCCCACATTTTCAATATACTCTTATCTTAGTGCATGGACCAGTCCCTATAAAGCTGCTGAGTCCATCTGGTCCATGATGGCAGGCTCCATCTCTTGTAACAGTCAGAGCAGGAGAGACTGTGTGCAGTGTTCACACTTGTGAATAACCTGGGCAATAGTGTCCATTGTTAAGTCCACCCCTCGATCATGAGTCCATCTCTGTGTTGCATCTCTGCTCTGATGGCCTGAAGTGCCATGGGCCCACCAGGCTTAAAATAATTCACTG